GCCATGTAGCAATTGAAATACTCAGTTTATCTTATACCCTACATAGGCTTTTTGCCTTAGCCATATTTTGCTACAGCATTATTTAATTTGCACATACATACTGGTGATATAACAGTGACTGCTGTCACCTCTGCTCTGTAGTCCTGGAATGCAGAGTTGTAACAGTAGATTTTCAGAGAACTAAACATTTGGGAATAGTAGAAAAAAAAATAAGAAAGTAAGAATCTATTACTTATTCATCAGATGTTTAATGAGCACATACTGTATTCCTAGAACCATTCTATCACTGAAGAGTAACAGATAAAAAATGCCTACACTAATGGACCTTTTATGAGACTGCTAGTATGCAGATAACAAGAATGTGACCACACACACACACACACACACACACACAGAGGCAAAGAGAAATACTTTCCTGTATTATCCAAATTTGTTCACAATCTTTTTTTTTTTTTTCTGGGAGAATGAGATGGAAAGGGAGACAGAGAAGAAAGGCAGGAGGGAGGGGGAAAGAGAGAGAGATTCAACTACAAACAGGTAACAAATTCACCACAATTTCCTAGGAACCTTTTTTAAGCAGACCTACTTTTAGCAAGAGTTATTTAGGCAGTAGGTTGCTTGGGTTTTTTTCCGAACTGGAGTTTGAACCCAGAGCTTTCATCCTAAGCTAGTAGTTCCCTAGCCCTTTTTCTGTTTTTTATTTTGAGACAGGGTCTCCTTAAGTTGCTCACATAGGGCTTCAACTTGTGATCCTCTGCCTCAGGAGTGCAGAGTGCTGAGGTAATAGGCATGCACCACCACATCTGGCTCAGGTTTCAGATTTTTATACCACTTGAGTTGCTGTGCTCAGGTTGATTTCCTTCTAACAAATAAATACTTGCACTGAGTAGGAGTTTTTTACTGTAAAGAGTAGAAATAATATTGAAGGTTGTACCACTTACTAGTGACAGAGACAGCCTAGTCTGTCTCCAATGGCAAGCATACAATTGGTAGCACATGCCTGTAATCCTAGCACTGGGGGGCTGAGACACAAGGATCACTCAGTCTGATCTGCATAGTGAGATACTGTACTAAATAAATAAATAATTTTTAAAAAAAATAATGGAAGTAGTAGCCTTGTAGAATTATCCTGTGCTTTGCCTTAAAAGGGTAAAATTAAAATTCTTTTTATTTTTTTCTGCCCTTCTCCAGACTCCTTTTACAAGGGCCTATAGTTCAGACTTACACATTCATTCTAAGCATCTTGGTATTGATCTTGTTTCCAAATACCATGAGCTCTTAAGAGTTCTAATCAGTTAAGCTGACTGAACTAATACAGTTAAATTTTAGTATATTTTTGAGGCTGCTCTTTCTAGACATAATTACATTTATTTCTCTGAGCCTGGAAGCATGAGGTCCTGAGTTCAATTCTCAGTACCACCCCCCTGCAAAGAAGAAAGTATCACGGGCCCACAAGATGGCTCAGCAGACTAAAGTACCTGCTTAGGCAAATGCAGGGACTGCGATTTGATCCCTGGCACCACATGCCACGCCGGCCCTGCCCCTAGGGTGGGCTGAGCCAGCAACAGAGTCCACATGTAGTAACACATGCCTGTAATCCCAGTGCTGGGAAGGCTGAAAACAGTACGATCACTATGAGTCCAAGCTGTGTAGTGAGACCCTGTAACAACCAAATGCATTAAAAAAAAAAAAATTATCAATGTACTTGAAAATGATAAATATATAAATTCATTTTCCAAACTTGACATGTAATTACTTTAAGTACATGTAGTTTTACTGTCCTGGAAATTTAATTTTCATATTAAAAATATGTTATTATATTTTTTTCACATTTTAAATATTTTTCTGTAGTCTCACTAAATTTAAATTTAATTAGTTACATTAGGTCTGAGGTTCATATATCACTAATAATTCATACAGGTACATAATCTGCTTTACATATGTGATAGGGCTTTAGTAGTAATGGCTGTTTAGTGATATAGTAGAAATTTTATGAGAAATATTTCCCATTGTTTATTCTTAAGTGTATGTTTGTATATGACAAGCGATGTAAATTTTATGGCTTCTATTTTTATTTTAAAGTTTAGTGGCTTACCTATGAGTGTTACAACTTATTAACAAATTTCACTATGACATCGACCATACAGGTGACCGAGGAAATATCTCAACATCTTCTAGACCAGTCTCTACATCAGGCAAATCAGAACTATCCACTAAACACAGTAGATCACTTAAACACGATGGACGCATGGGCCGGACTACTGCTGACCAGAAGAAGCCAAGGGGCACAGAAGGTTTATCTGCAAGTGAATCCCTCATGTTAAAATCTGATGCTGCAAAGTTGAGGTCAGATTCCCACAGTAGGTCACTGTCCCCCAACCATAATACATTGCAGACGCTGAAGTCTGATGGGAGGATGTCTAGCTTCAGAGCTGAGTCCCCAGGACCAGGTTCTCGGTCATCATCTCCTAAACCAAAGACTCTCCCAGCCGGCAGATCTAGCCCATCTGGTACTAGCTCACCACGCTCCTCCTCACCACAAGATAAAAGTCTACCTCAAAAAAGCACTGCTCCTGTGAAGACAAAACTTGATCCTCCGCGAGAGCGTTCTAAGTCAGACTCTTATACTCTTGATCCAGATACCCTCCGCAAGAAGAAAATGCCTCTCACGGAGCCTTTGAGGGGACGATCCACATCACCAAAACCTAAGTCAGTACCAAAGGACTCTAAAGATTCCCCTGGGTCTGAAAATAGAGCTCCTTCTCCCCATGTGGTACAGGAAAACCTTCACAGTGAGGTGGTTGAAGTCTGCACATCAAGTACTTTAAAAACAAATAGTCTAACAGATAGCACCTGTGATGAAAGTAGTGAATTTAAGACGGTGGATGAAGGCTCAAATAAAGTTCATTTTAGCATAGGAAAAGCACCGCTGAAAGATGAACAAGAAATGAGAGCATCCCCCAAAATAAGTCGAAAATGTGCTAGTAGACACACCAGGCCCAAAAAAGAAAAATCTAGTTTTCTTTTCAAAGGTGATGGATCCAAACCTTTAGAGCCGGCCAAGCAAGCCATGTCTCCCTCAGTGGCTGAGTGTGCCCGAGCTGTCTTCGCTGCTTTCCTGTGGCATGAAGGCATAGTACATGATGCAATGGCTTGTTCATCTTTCCTAAAATTTAATCCTGAACTTTCCAAAGAGCATGCTCCTATACGGAGTAGTTTGAATAGCCAACAACCCACAGAAGAAAAAGAAACCAAGTTAAAAAATAGGCATTCATTGGAAATATCATCTGCACTAAATATGTTTAATATTGCACCTCATGGACCAGATATATCTAAAATGGGTAGCATCAACAAAAATAAAGTGCTATCCATGCTTAAGGAACCACCTCTACATGAAAAATGTGAGGATGGAAAAACCGAAGCCACTTTTGAAATGTCTGTCCATCACACAATGAAGTCTAAGTCTCCTCTCCCCTTAACTTTACAACATCTAGTGGCCTTTTGGGAAGATATCTCTTTGGCTACTATCAAAGCTGCATCCCAGAATATGATTTTTCCAAGTCCCGGTTCCTGTGCTGTGCTTAAAAAGAAAGAGTGTGAGAAAGAGAATAAGAAGGCCAAAAAGGAAAAAAAGAAAAAAGAAAAGACAGAAGTTAGACCCAGGGGCAATTTATTTGGAGAGATGGCCCAGCTGGCAGTAGGAGGACCAGAGAAAGACACCATCTGTGAGCTGTGTGGAGAATCACATCCATATCCAGTAACCTATCACATGCGACAAGCTCACCCAGGTAAAAGACAGTGCTCCAGTATGTAAATACTGTTTAATGAAGTAGGTTGTTTCCAACTTTACCTGGCCTATGAATTATGTCACATAGGGAAACCGTTAGCCAGAATTCAGAGTATTCTTTTATGTGTTCTTTATCAATATTAAATTTTGTGGAAGAACATAGAGAAATTCTAGTTGTATAGTAATCAGGCAATTTAGTATTGTTTCACTCTCGTAGCACATTTTGAAATATTTCATTTTCTAGATATTTTGTGTTTCCAAAAAATGCCATTAAGGTATCATACAATGCTAGTAATGGAATGTTTAAACAAGGCAAATCAGCATTTTCCATATTATGTCTCCCTTTAAGTCTAGTGTTTTCCGGTTCAAAATCACTAATTAAATCACTCCATTTTGGACTGGGGAGATGGCTCAGTGGATAAGCGCTTCCCTGGCAAGCACAAGGGCCTGAGTTCAATCCCTGGTAACAAAAAAAAAAAAAAATATTGCATTTAGTATTGTTGATGGTTTTATTAGAAGACTGCATTTAAGGTAAATAAGAATGTCTGTAAATTAATTGATATTCCAAAATTCACCTGATATAAATGTGGTTAATATTTTTCTCTCTGTACATAATAGACCTCAAGTGTTTTGTAAATGTGTGAGTCATTAAAACTTTGTGAATGTGTGATTCTTGAAAGCTTATTCATGGGGAATAGTGTATATACTTGCTTTCTCTTTTTATTGGCATTTGTACATTAATCTAAATATACTCATATCCTATATTTACTTTAATCTTCTTATCTAGAAATAAAGTGTCTCTGATACCTTGGACACAGTTAATTTGTTTTATGGTCAAGTGTGCCATTTGATACAGTTAATCCTTTAAAAAATATCAGATACTAGCTCTGGTATTTTGCTCACTTGAATAAGGTAAATCTGTTTTTAATATATAAGCAGTAAAAATCAATCAGTTAAGGACACTTAAGGTCTTATTTTTACTATGATTCAAGGTTGTGGCCGGTACGCTGGTGGACAGGGTTACAATAGCATCGGGCACTTCTGTGGAGGATGGGCTGGTAACTGTGGTGATGGTGGCATAGGAGGAAGCACTTGGTACCTGGTATGTGACCGCTGTAGAGAAAAATACCTCCGTGAGAAACAGGCTGCTGCAAGAGAGAAGGTACTTTTATTCCATTCAGTATTCTATTTTTAATGATATAGATAAACCTTATAATAATCTATTTATACTCATATTATTATGTCAGGTAGTTACATATAATTAGCATTAAAGATCAGCTTTCATAACAAAAATAATATACAAATATATATTTGTACTAAGCTGTCTTAACTTTAAAAATGAGTTAGGTCTTAGGACAATATAATCAGCTAACCTATGGTGCATATATCTTATTGATAAATGATTGTCATATATTATTATTGCTCTTATTCTGTGTATATTCATAACTTTTACTACTCTTCACTTTTCTTGCGTATTACTCGTCCTCTTTTTTGGCCTCCTTTTTTCCCCTCTGTATCTTCTTTTTCCCTTTATACATAGTTATAGCATAGAACTCATGGAAACTTGGAGTTTATTCTCACTAAGGTCATAACAAACTAAAGAATTCTGTTCTTGCACTTGCTTTGTCTCTACTTCTCTCTCCCTGCTTCTCTTTCCTCTCTCTCTAACACACATACACATACTTATCAGTTGTATTTTTTTAATTATATTTAAATTTAACTATTAACTTCTTAAAATCTCCAAGGAAACTACAGTTTCTTATAGTTATAGTCAGTTTGAGAGAAATATGAATTGAATGCTGTTTTTGTAATCTTAATATTTTAAAATATTTGCACAAGTGTTTAATAATTTTTATTAGAAACCCTTTAGTACTTAGCTTAAGGAATTAAAAATTTTGCTATAAAACGTTTTTTCAATTCCATTTCTTCTTCAACAGGTCAAACAAACTAGGAGAAAGCCAATGCAAGTCAAGACCCCTCGAGCCTTGCCCACCATGGAGGCTCACCAGGTTATCAAAGCCAATGCACTTTTCCTGCTGTCTCTGAGCAGTGCAGCTGAGCCAAGCATTTTGTGTTACCATCCTGCAAAGCCATTTCAGTCACAGCTGCCCAGTGTGAAAGAGGGCATTTCTGAGGATCTTCCCATGAAAATGCCCTGCCTCTACCTACAAACATTAGCTAGGTAATAAAACTTTGTTGTTTTTATTTTTTTTTTTTTTTTTTTTGGAATAATAGCCACTGTTGACTTATACAAGGTAGATCACAATTTGATCTAAATACCCATGCTATATTAAATGTTGTATAAAGAATTCATCTTCTGGGCTGGCGAGACAGCTCAGCGGACTAAGCACCTGCCTAGGCCAAGTGCAGTGCCAGCCCCACCCCTGGATGCCCAGCCAGCCAGTCCCACCCCTAGGCACCCAGCTGGCCACTGAAACCAGGCAAGCCTAGTGACACACTCCTGTAATCCCAGCACTGGGGAGGCTGAAAACAGGAGGATCATAACAGGTCAGAGCTGCATCATGAGACCCTGTACCAAATACATTAAAAAAAAATTAAAATAATTCATTTTCTGACTTTCCTTGGTTTGCACATTACAGGTGGGATGCACCACTTATACTAGTAGGTATTTCATGGAAATACTTTGCCAATTTCTTATTATTACTGTAAAATGTTTATGAAAGTATCTGTAGCTGGTTTTTTGGTCTCTGCTAGGCTGACTTCAATATGTTAGTAGTAAAAATGCTGAAATGGAAAGAAGTTAATGTTGTATGGAAGTTGTATATTTGTATGGAACTCTTTAACTTTTTCAGTTGTTCATTTTGTTAGCATTTAAATTTTTATCAAATGAGTACTGGCTTTGTGCTGGGCCCAGAAGACATCAAGATAAATGTAATAAAATTCATTCTTGCATGCTTATACCCAAGTAACAAGACAAATGTATCATTGGTATGCTCACAAATTCATATAAGGAGTACTCTAAAAGTAGATATAGGATACATGCAAACATAGGAGTACTCTAAAAAGAGCTTAAAGATGGAGAATATATGAATCATCCCGGGAAACCAAGAAAGTCTTCATAGGAGGTCTGACCCTAAAGCAAGTCTTAAAGGATAGAAGTTTGTTGGGCACATTATGGGAAGAAAATGATTTCTTGAAGTCACCCAAATGAAATGAAATCTTGTTTCACATTTGAGGAATAACAGGCTTATTAAAGCATTGACTATTGAGGGAAGTAGTAAAATGCTGCCTGAATTGATAACCTTGGTAGTATGGGACTTTGTGACTCATACTAAGATTGGATTTTGTCGTATAGCAGGACAAACAAAGGAAGAACTTTAAGTAGAAATATGTGAAGTAGTTTACAGCAAGAAGGTCACCTTTGTGGAATGTGGCAACTAATTCAGAAAAGTAGAGAAAAAGGCATAACTGAATATAGAGAGAAGTTTATTATACTGTTTTCCTGTATTGGACTTCGATGCTGCAATCTTTATGTTCACACATTATCACTGACATTCTAAAACAGTCTTCAATATTCCAAATTCAGATTTGTCATCTGACGAAAGAAAATTTCTAGATTCTGCCTACTGACATAGCTTGCCAATCAGTAGTTTCATTTTTTAAAATATTGTCCTCCTGAAATAGCAGAGGCATATGCTTTAAAAAAAAAAAAAAAATTGTGCTTACTGTTGCAATAGGGTAAATTTAAAAAGGAAACAGAAAATTTGAAACTTATATTTGAGACCAAGCTGAAAATTAGCAGACTTGTGAAATACAACATGTCTTTAGTTTCAGACTATTCAGTGGTAAGGCTAGCAACTGTTTGTACCAGTTTGGAACATACTCAAAAACTGTAAAACACCTAAAAATACTAACAAAAGGGCCAGCCAGGTAGCTCAGCAGACTAAAGTGCCTGCTTAGGCAAAGCACAGGGACCAGGGTTCAATCCCTAGCGTGCTGTGCCAGCCCCACCCCCACGCTGAGAAAACATCTGAGACTGGGCATGGTGGCACAAGCCTGTAATCTCTGTGCTTGGGAGGCTGAAAACAGGAGAATCGCAAGTCTGGACTGTGTAGTAAGACCCTGTAGACTCTATACTAAATACTTGCAAATAAACAAACAAACATAGCATTATTAAATATTTTTATATATTTATCTGTCTTCAGAATGGATTCACCTTATCCCTTAGAACATTTCACATATCTAATGTTTTTCAAATTTGAGCCTATACATGTTCCTGCCCAAAGAGTAACTGCCTGTATTTTAGTAGTCCATGTGAGGAGTGCTATGACCCTGCACTATAGTAGTGAAGGGGTTATGAGAAGAGAAAATAGTTGTGCGAAAAGACCTGGTATCTTGGGCCTGCAGAGCTAGTGATGATTGAGGGGTAAACCTACAGCAATATTGAGATGCTTTAGCCTAAGCGCCTGAATGATTGATGGGATTACTCATAAAACACAAATGTTCTGAAACAGAAGAAAATCAGTTCAGTTTTGGATTTGAAATGTGTATGATACCTAGAATATCTGTAAAATTAGCAGACCTGTATTTACTCCTACCTGCATCTATGCTTATTGTAATATTTCACCTTCATGTATAGAGTCATATGTGTTGCTGTGCCTTTTAGAAAGCAGTTAAAAAAGTAGTCTCCATGTTACCCTCATAGTCTGAAGTTCTTGCTTTGATTTATTGCAGGCATCATCATGAAAATTTTGTGGGCTATCAAGATGACAACCTATTCCAGGATGAAATGAGATATCTGCGTTCAACATCTGTCCCTGCGCCGTATATATCAGTAACTCCTGATGCAAGTCCGAATGTATTTGAAGAGCCAGAGAGCAATATGAAGTCTATGCCACCAAGGTATTTTACTTCTCTCCTGCTGTTCAATAGCGAATGTTTGATGAAAGAAATACTTTGAACTAGAAAAGAATATTCTGGAAGTTCTTTAATGTAACCTTCTGTCACAGGAAAGACATTGAGCCAGCTCAATAAATGCTACAAAAAAGCATTCATGTATGAATATACCTAACTCTTTAATGAGAGAGGCAAAGTAATTGGAGAGAAAAGATTACATTCTATGGTATCATTAGTGTTGTAGTTAAGAATAGGGGAATGCTACTTTGAAGCAGTACCTAGACATACTTGAGAGAAGTGGCACTCTAAATAAAAACTTTCCTGGATTATTGCTTGCAGTGTCTCCCTCCTTAGCTATGATGTCAAAGCAAAGAGCTTCTCGAAAATGGAATAGAAGCATTGTAACTATGTTGCATAAGACAATTGAGTACTACTAAAAACTTCAGAGGATTAGCAAGATAAAAATGCAAAGATAGTCTCATAGTGCCATTTGAGATGCTGATAAGTGTAGTCAAAGATTTTAGGTACATACATGGAATTGGATTGAATTGCCAATGTAATCCTATTGGCAGTGGTTACAGAAACAAAGATGGATAAAGGAGGTGTGTTTTAGGAATAATCAGTGTGACTTGATAACTAAGTGGAAAATGACAAAAATAAGTTTAAGGTGATATGAAAATTTCAGGTGTGAATAACTGAAGATGTCAGTGAAAGAAAGATACTTCTGTGAAGAAACTGAGAACATACTCATTAAGCTATGCCTCTTGAGCTGGTATAATGGTGCATGCTTTTGTAATCACAGCTACTCCAAAGGCTAAGTAGGAAGGCTGCATAGAAGCCAGCCTGGCAAGTTTAGTGAGATCTTGGCTTGAACGTTATGAAAGGATTCGAGATAGAGTTCAGTGACAGAGTAAGTGTGAGGCTCTGGGTTCAGGGGTGGGAGGTGCCAGTATGTTAATACTATGTTGTTGTTATTATCATAAACTATGATACTAGACACTTTAATAAGCACATAGAATTTATGTCTCCAAATAATTAGTTTTTCCATCAAAAATAATTGCAATTTCCCCCCTCATCTGTGGATCACTCTTGGTTAGCTTGTTTGTATGCTTATGATGCTCTTGACATTTTCTACAAGTTCATTGAAACCTTTTATATGTTTAAATATGATAAAAGGTCTCTAAAGCAGAAATACCTTTTAAGAGTTAGAAACTGAGACTGGTTGTTAATATATATAACTTACTAGGTTATTATTATCTTTTAGGATCAAAATCAAATAGGGTAAATTTCTAGGTAAAGATTATGAAATGAAGCTATGTAAGAGAACTTCCCATCCCAAGTAATCAAAAAAAAAAAAAATTAAACAGCAGGAAAAATAGTTTTACCACATCTCACTATACAAGTTGCCATAAATAATGGCAATAAATATTTCCAAAAATAATGGCCAGGAAAATAAACCAAATAAGCCAAGGATGCTGAGAAGCTGAATACCTTCCAGTTTAGTGAAAAATAGGTTTAGGAGATGATTGAAGACCCAGAAAAAGATCAAGGTAAAATTTTCTAATGTAGAAACCCAATATCATCTTTGAAATCACACCAAAAATTAGAAATCTAGGGAATCCTTTTTCCACAGCTGCATGCTAAAGCAGAGTAACAATCTATGGACTATGGAATGCTACGCAGAATCATCTCTCTGGTAGAGAACATTAAATAAGCTCTCAGTTTACCTCTGGGAGGAAACAAACCATGGGTTGAGTGTGATGGGGAAAGTCTAGGAAAGTCCACAAGTACTTTTGCAGAGCAATCTGAAGAACTGAACAAAGTTACCTACTTTAAAACATTAACAGAATGAAAACTAGTACACCATTCAAAAGTCAGATAAAAGGGCCACTCTAGAAGAAAATTCATCTTAGCTTTAAGATTACTGTAAATACTATGAATAGTAAAAACTTAATGATATCATGAATTTAATAAAATGAGTTCAGTTGTGGAAATGGGATTTTTTTTTAAAAAAGTAGGATAAAGCAAAAAATACATTCCAGAGCTAACTAAACAGATCAAAGACCAAATCAACATGCTTATACAAATTAAAAGTTAACTTAAAAATTTTAGAACAGTTAATTGAGTTATTATTACAATTGATAGACTTGAGACTTTAAATGAGTCAAAAGGGGCAAGGGTCAAAGAAGATTATAGCAGTTAAAAGATAACAGGTAAGACCACTGGGATAGCCCAACCTAAGAATTATTGATATCTTTGAAGTAGAAAACCTAGCAGATAAAATAGAACATTAAAAGCTTTGATATTTATTTAAAGACTAAAACTTGTAAAATAAAAATGTATTGAATTATATTTAGCAAGGAAATAGCAAGAAAAACAAGTTAGAAAAAAAGGCTGAATTCAGAGTTTTGTAACACAACTTTGAATGACAGAAAAAAAAAGGAACCATATTTCTAAAACTCCAAAAGAAACAAAACATACTTGAGAAGATTTATCAAATCTCAGACATACTAATCATATATTTCAGCCACGTATACTCAGATATCAAAAATCTTGAGAACCTTAGGACAAATTGTTATTTTTTAAAATCCTTCCATCATAAAACCCTGATTAATAATGGGTTAATCAAATGATTCATAAATAGCATGTTTTATAAACTATGTAGTATATAGTGAAAATATAATTGTACAGATCACATAAGGAAAACTTTCACAAAATCATAAAAAAGAAGAAACTATAACTCAAGTATTTTTCATTTGTTTGAGTTGGAACATTCTCAACCATACAGAGATTATAGTAACCCTAGTAATTCAGAGATTATAGCACCTTTGGGCTATTCTTGAAAAATTGTATCTTGATTAACTGTTCTAAAAAGTGGTAAATAATAAAGGCACCATTAAATCAGTGTTTCTTAACTATGAGTGATTTTTACATCCCAGCCACCATCTGAAAATGTTTAGAAATGTTTTGATTTAGCATAACTGATGTAGTTCTTTTCAGCTGGCATCCTAGTAAGTAGAAACTAGCAGTCCCTACAGCAAAAAATTTTCTAAGGTTATTGTCATCTTTGCTTGTTTCTTTGGATTTTCTTGTTTTGCTTTAATTTTTCACATGCATTATCTTTTTCAGAAGAACAAGTCCTCTTTAAAATTGTATGATGACTTTTTTAATTAATATGAAACTGCTTCTGAAAGCAGAACAAACATTAATACCATATATACAATGAATTAAGTTACTATGTCCCATTACTGTAGTCGTTCTGGAATCAAGCTGACATCCAGACACATTTATACTAGTTAGTATGTACTCCATTTATAGTCTACTTAAGTAAAAATGTACTCTGTCATCTTAGACAGGCAATGAATAAACCACCCAGGCAGTTATATAAAATATGTGAACTTACTGAAAGGTATAGGATTTCATACCTGGGTTGAATGATGAAAATACAGCAGCGTCAGAACAAAGGTAAAAAAAAATGTCCCAATTGGAGATGAGGTGACAGGAAAGAAAAGCACATGAAAAGAATTTCTTGCAAATTTGTCTTAGAGAAATCTTTAAAAATGTATTTTTGTTTTTCATAAAATGTTTCAATAAAGAAAGTTAAATAGTCATCTTAGTAAACTTATGTTTTATAATGTTACTACAATTAGGAATTAGTTTACTAAAGTCTGAGTAAAAATATCTGAATTCTTATATAGAATGTAACTGTAATATAAAGCTAATGCTTAAAATCCATTTACTATTGCTCATTCCATTTTTACATAACCAAAAGGTCATCAGGCCACACTTCTCAAGAGTGAGAAACCTTATAGCATGCTCAAGTAGCAAGAGGAACATGGATCAACTTACACTTTCTATTTTCTGAGGATTTTTATATGTACATAACCCATTTTCTTTCTAATTTGACTATGCCTTTTTTCCTTAGTATCTTAATATGTGAGTTTCACCCTAGTGCTTTTGATTCCAAAAGGAACTTATAACACTTGGTGCCTTATCATCTTTTTTGTCGTTGTTATTTTCATTTAAAATACAAACCTTGGGGCTGGCGAGATTTCTCAGCACACTAAAGTGCCTGCTTAGGCAATCTTAGGCAAGTGTAGGGACTGCAGTTTGATCCTTGGCACCACATGGCTTGCCAGCCCCACCCCCAGAGCAGTCTGAGCCAGTTACCGAAATCAGGCCTGGTGGCACATACCTGTAATCCCAGCACTGAAGATGCTGAAAACAGGCCGATCACTACGAGTCTGAGCTGCATAGTGAGACTTTGTAACAACTAAATACATTTGAAAATATAATAATAATTAATAATAAGATACAAAACTTGAAAATCACAATGGATTTTCTTGTTTGCTAGGACATGTTTGTAGTACCTAATATCTACATTTCTTGGGGAAATTGGGTGCATCCTAATTCCTTTTTCATTCCCTTTTCCTTCCTTCCCACTCCACTCCACCCAACTTGATCTCCTTTTCTTTTTTTAGTATGTTTTTCTAGTACATGTTTATTTCTTGTATGAAGTTGATAGTATGCAGAACACATATTCCTTTTCTCATCCCTTCACCCTTTCCATATCTTGATCCCCTTCTCCTTTGAGAAGGATCTACTTTCCTATTATCTTTTATTTTGCTTTGTTTATACTTATACTTTTAATTTGTCATGTGAGAGAAACCACATGATACTAAGCTGATACTTAAGATTTATTTCACTTAACATTTTTGGTATCAAAGTGCATTCATTTTCCTACAAATGATTCAAGTTTATTCTTTATAGCAGAGAAGTACATTACTGTAAGTGAATACTGCATTTTCTTTATCCATTCATCCATTGGTGGGGATATAGCCCACTTCCAAGAATTATTATTACGAGTGTGCTGCTTTAAACAGAGGTATGCATGTATCCTTGTAATATGATATGTTTACCTCTTTGGGAAGATACCTGGAAGCAGAATAGTAGAGTCAAATGAGATTTTCCATTTGAATCGACTATTTCAGTTTCAGGTTTTTTGGGGGTTGTTTTGTTTTGTTTTGTTTTGTTTTGTTTTTGAGGAATAACCATCCTGATTTTTGTGGTGGTTTTATTGGTTTGCAACAGTGAATAAGGGTTCCTATTTCTCTGCAGCATCTCCAACACTTACTTATTATTTGATTTCTTGATGATAGCTTTTTTGTCTGGGATAAGATGGTATCTTGGTGTTGTTTCAATTTGGATTTCTCTCATTGCCAGTGATGTTGAACATTTCTTCATGTATTTATTGGCCAAATGTCTGTTCATTTCACTTGCTCATTTTTTGATTGGGTCTTGGATTGGGGGATTGTCTAGTTTGGTTTTTTTTTAGTTCTTTATATGTGGTATATATGAGTCCTCTGTCAAATGGCTGGCAAAACCACAAGTTTTACTATAAAGTTCTGAACTATACATCATTGCATTTGCCTGTAATCCTAGCATTCTGGGAAGCTGAAGCAGGAGGATCACAATTTTGAATCCAGCCTAGGCAACTTAGTGACTTAGTGAGACCTGTCTCAAAATAATAAAAAATGAAAAATGACTGGAGATGTAGCTCAGTTCAGAGTACCAGTACCAATTTTAAAAGGTACAGGTCTGAGATCAGTCAAAATGTTATTATATTTGAGAAAATCAAAATACAGTTTAAAGAGATTGATAAGATGGCTTTATTTATTCACACAAAATTTAGATTTAAGTCTCCTGAGTATAGTATTTTAAGCATAATGATGTTTCATTCACTTTTTCTGAATTTTTACCTGTGCTCTTCATTCTATTTGCAGCTTGGAAACTAGTCCCATAACTGATACTGATCTGGCAAAGAGAACTGTCTTCCAAAGATCATACTCAGTTGTTGCTTCTGAATATGATAAGCAGCACTCCATCTTACCTGCACGAGTGAAAGCTATCCCTAGGAGAAGAGTTAACAGTGGTGACACTGGTAAGTATAAATAGGAAAACTGAATAATGCTACTAAAAGTAAGAAGAAAAGTGTTTTCTTTGCTGATAATTTTTAAAATGTGTTACTTGAATGGCAAAGAACAGATTAATTTCTGGATTGTGATAGGTATTCACCCTATATGACCCAGGCACAAATACAATTCTCTAAATTTTGCACCACATGTAGAAGAGACATCCAGAGATCTCTCAGTCATTCTTTTTTTTTTTTTTTAAATTTTTTTTATTTATTTATTTGTGTGTGTGTGTGTGGCCAGCTCAGCCCACCAGGGAGCGGGCTGGCTGGCATGTGGTGCTGGGAAATCGAACTGTGGTCCCTGGGTTTTGCTAAAGCTTGTTCTAAGTAGGTGCTTTAGACCACTGAGCCATCTCACCAGCCCCTCTCAGTCATTCTTGAAGAAGAAGTTGATCTTTACCATCCACAGCAGTTCCAGCTTACACATAGCTTACATACTCATGCCCTGCCCTGATCAGTACAGTTACAGAATCTGGACAAATTGCTACCAATAGCCTTAAATTGAGACTGGGGATCCCACCTTAAAAATAGTGAAAGAAACTCAGGAGAAAAGGATACTATGGCTTACTAAACTGGATATTTAAAATTATAGGTAGATAATTGAAGATCTTTAAGAAAAATATGTTTAAGCATCCTTTGATGATTTATATGTTGATTCAACAAATATTTTGAAGCGTTTATCAAGATAACATTGTAATAAAGTGATCTTTTAGAAAATAATAGAGATGAGATGTAGATCTCACTTAGGAAGAACATAAACCACTTAGAATATTTTAGGAAGCTTGAACTTTGAATTCAGCCTGTGTTCAAAACCTACCCAGTAACTTAATAGTTGTACAACTTTAGGAAACTAAAATGTTGAATATTTTTCAGCCTCAGTTTTTTCTTCAGCAAAGTTAAAATAGGGGCCAGGGAGATAGCACAGTGGTCTAAGCGCCTTCCTGGCAAGTACAAGGACCTAGGTTTGATCCCTGCTACCACATGCCATGCCGGCCCTAGAACCCTGGGCACACCATGCCAGCCATGGAAACAGCATGGTGGCACACACCTGTAATGCCAGCACTGGAGAGGCTGAGACAGGAACATCGCTACAAGTCTGAGCTGCATAGCAAGACCCTGTACCAAATAAATAAATAATTTTTTAAAAAATTGAAATAGTTACAGTTTGTTTCATGTGCAAAAGAAGACTCTAAAGTGAATAAGCTAAATATTATTTTTTATATTTACTTGAATGTATTAACCAATGTATTACCTATGAAAATTGATAATTTTCTTTTTCTTTTGTTTTTCTTATTAGAAGTTGGTTCTTCCCTTTTGCGACACCCATCACCTGAGCTTTCCCGACTAATTTCAGCCCACAGTTCTCTTTCCAAAGGAGAACGAAATTTCCAGTGGCCTGTTTTAGCTTTTGTTATACAACATCATGATCTAGAAGGTCTTGAAATAGCAATGAAACAAGCCTTAAGGAAATCTGCTTGTCGGGTTTTTGCTATGGAGGTATGAATATGTTAATGGAGTTACAATTCAAGGGTTATACAAATCATATGACGATTCTATTAATGATTCTGCTTTTCTACCAAATTAAAAGCTATTAACATTCTGAAAATATCAAGTGTTCACATAAAAATTAAGCCCTAAAATTTATAGATACAAATTCAGAATTCCATAATGACTGTAAAAAACTTTCTATGTTACTTTATTATTTGAATCCTGATACTCATCTTTTTTAAAGTTTTTATAATCAGACCATCATTTTAGTAGGATAAAGTGACTAACTATGCAAAGAAGATGAGCATTTTGGTTGTTTTCAATTATAAAGTTACCGATAATGGCTTATTTGGGTCTCCATTTTATGCAAGGCTGGGATTACTGTGTATCACAGATCTATGTATAGTAAATTTTTCTTTATTATTACCATGTGTTAAACAACTTGCCTCTTGGTTGATTGGATCAATACAGATATTTAAATGATAGCTTATGTAGACTAGCAAAACATTCTGTGTTGACCCTGAGTACACATTGAAAAAAAAATGCTGTACTAAGAAAACTTTTCATTGTATTTCACAAATACTATTCCATTCTGTTTGTTCAAATTAAGACCAAAAGTACTATTTCAGATTTAGTGTATTTCCAGTGAAATGAAGTTTAGATATTCTAGCACCTTTTCTTAAAACAAATCCATGGAGAGTACTCCATTTCTAAGTAAGCAATACCCTACATTTTTAACCTCATATATTTTCTTTTTATTTTGGACTTATTTGATCATGATTTATTCAGGCCTTCAACTGGCTTCTGTGCAATGTCATTCAAACAACTTCTCTCCATGACATCCTATGGCATTTTGTGGCATCCCTGACTCCTGCTCCTGTGGAACCAGAAGAAGAAGAGGATGAAGAAAATAAAACAAATAAGGAAAATTCAGAACAAGTAAATGAAGCTTTCATTTGTTGTAATTGCCCATATTTGTATAGAAACTCAGTAGTGCATTTTTAGGTAGTATAATGATTTACATGAGGTCAATCTCAGATTATCTGACCTGAAAAAGAGTAATATTTTAGTGCTATGGATTATTAACTATCTTAATGCTGGTTTTCTCTCTAGCAAAGATGCTGACTTCTCTTTAAACCCCAATCATAAAGCAACCAATTGGAAGATACGTAGTTACTACAAACCATAATGACAGATAAACACAGTGACACTATTCCATAAAGGATCAGTAGCTGAGAAGACAGTCGTGCTGTAGCTCGTGCTCAGGTGGAGTGAGTGTGATGAACACCCTTGGCGTGCACTTAGGATCCCAGAGAGGCCATACCAGATGCTCACACCGCACCAGTGAGCACAGTGTAGAAAGTCAAGTGCAAAACTGAAATAACCTCCCTCTGACAGAGTTGAAGGCCAAGCCTTGATAGAATTGATAGCCTGTTGTCTTCCTAAAAGAAAAAAACACAGCACTCTTTAGAAAAAGAGATATCACCTAGGATTTCCATGATGCATACTTAATAGACATCCAAAGAAGGCAAAAAGTGACCATCCTTTATTTAGCTCACTAACATAGTTCAAAAAGTTTATGGAACATTGATACTTTGCTGTGGAGTAACAACCTCTTGGAGAATATTTGCAAAATCTCTGAAAATTCACATTTAAAATGATGTAATAATTCCATTTCTCTTTATCCTATCATGTATGCATATATAAAATGACACATATGCAGGGTGATTCATTATTGAGGTTCTTATAAAAATAAAAAGTTGAAATAGCCTAAATGACTATTCTGTGGTAGACTGATGAAATAAGCTTTGTATCTCCATTCATCAGAGTACTACGCAGCAAAATAACATACACTCATACAAATATATAAGAAATAATGATCACCATGGTAAATGGTTAATTGTTAAAAAAAAAAAAGATACGGAGCACTGTAATATCTAGTGCTATTATTTTTGTAAATGAACAATATCTAGAAACTGTTTCAGTACGCTACACTAAAATAGGAATTGTGGGCCAGGGAGATAGCTCAGTGGCATAAGAGCCTGCCTGGCAAGTGCAGGGTCCTGAGTTTAATCCCTGGTACTGAAAAAAAAAAAATCAAAATATGAAGTGCCAATGAAGGAGGCACCTGGATGGCTGCAGTATTGGAACAGGGAAATTTTTTATGGTGTTCTTTAGACCTTTTGAATTTTTCATTCTGATGCACATAACCTGCTCAAAAGATTAAACATGTTAAATGAGAAACCAGTTGTGAAACTTGGATCACGACAGGCAGTCTGCAATACTAGCTACTTTTGTTATTAAGTAGATTCAGCAAGTCTTAAATACTATCTGCAGAATTTTGGGATAACTAAAATAATCACTGCTTACTAAGGACTTATAATGACCTAATATGATATAAATGTTATATCTTATATTTCCTTGTGAAATAAGTGCAGTCATAGAAATATTTATTTGACACAAAGGAAGGAGAGATTACTTATGATTCAGGGAACTGAAGCAAGTTGCTCTGTATACCATGAGCTAGATTTAGATTGTGGTATGGTATTTTGTGGTATGGTATGTTCAGAATTCCCTGAACAGAGAAAAAACTGTCTGCAAAGAAATGTGGTATGGGGCTGGGGAGATAGCTCAGTAGAATAAGCGCTTGCCTGGCAAGTACAGAGTCCTGAGTTCAATCCCTCGTGCCTCAAAAAAAAAAAGGTGTGGTATGACCTCAAGAACTCTGACTTTAATTAAAATGTATCTAATAAAAAAAAGGTGTTGGGACTGGGGAGATGGCTCAGTGGAATAAGTGCTTCCCTGGAAAGCGCCAGGGCCTGAGTTCAATCACCATTTCCTCAAAA